ATAGTATCCTACATAATTCTTAGGCTTTCTTTATTTTTTGTTTCCCCCCTGAATTTTCTTCATACATATTGGTGTCAAAAGATTTGTCCACCAATTCACTGATGTGGTCTTCTATTGATTGAATTTGACTCATTTATTCTTAGTGTGTTTCCTATCTCCAGAATTTTAATGTCCAACTTCTGGATTCCTCATTGCTGTTTTTTTATGGTTTCTAATTGTCTATTTATTTTGTCATTTTGCTCTTGTATTGTTTTCCTGAATTCGTTTAGTATATTGTTGTGCTTTCCTAGATTTTGTTTGTGGTTTTGTTGATCTCGTAGAGGGTCCTATGTATAAGTCTTCTGAATTGCATATTAGGTAGTTCTATTACCTTTTGCTGCTCAGGGAAGTTTCTTCTTTATTTTGGTCATTTGCTGCTTCAGTCATATTGTCCTGTTACTTTGTTTTTGATTTGAAGTTGACTGTTGTCTCTGAGACATTTTGGGGTTACTATACTGTTGATTGTGTGTTGATTTGTTTTGCCTTGATTTTTTTGTTTTGATATGTCTGGGTGTGTGTGGTGGGTATGCTATTTTAGTTGCTAATGTGGCAGCACTAGGGTGCTCTTCACCTGTCTCCAAGTGGGTGGAGTATTGAGTGAGTGTGGACACAGGTCTCTGTTTACTGGTTGTATAGAACATCTGTGGACAGCGTGAGGAGATTTTCTCCACCATCTGTCATTGATCCAACGGTGCAGGGGAGGGTGGGTGGTGGCACTCACCTGTTGGGTGCAATAGTAAGTGGCAAGTGTAGCAGATGTGGCTGACTAGTGGGAATACATTATTTACCTCCCAAGTGAAAAACAAAAAGAATGAGGAAAAAAATAAAAGTAAAGGAAGAAGAGGGAACATAAATAAGTGAAAAGGAATAAGAAATAGGAATAAGTAAAAATAGAAAAAAAGAGTGGTGCGGCAGTGTTCACCCATACCTCTAAGGCAGCAGACATGCAGTCCCCTATCCATGGAAACACACACTGCCGACCACAATAATAGATGCCTACCATGCGATCCGCATGAGCGCATGCCCTTGGTCTCCAGAAAACTTGCAGCAGGAAGCACATAGACATCCACACAACTGACTGTAGAGGCAGCATGCACACTGTGCATGATCCATGTGAGCACATGACCCCAACCACAGAGGCTGTGGGTGCTTGACATGCTGTCTAAAAGAGCATGCCCTGTCAACCATGCATGTGTTGGCTGTGCAGTACATGGTCCACTGGCATGCAACTTGGTCTGCTGGAGGTGTGATATGGCAGGGCCCCACACAGGGTGGGGGAAGGCAGTCCAAGCAATCAGATGGTAGATGGTTGGCAGGGAGGCATCATTGGCCACTGGCTTGGTGGAAGCAGAGGATGACCTCACCACTGGTCACTGGTAAGATGTTGGGGGGAAGACGGGAGTATACACTTTTCCAATTGCCGTTAATGGCATGGGCCCAGTGTACTTCTGGGTAAGTGCAGCTGGTTATATGGTCCCTGCTCCAACTCAAGGAGGAGGGACTTCCTTGACCCCAGCCTCTCCAACTGCCACCCCACAGGCCTTCCTTTCTGTGTGGACCCTCAACACAAATGACTGGAGACCACTACTGATGACTGGTTTTATTCCTATTTACTTGCTCCCTCCCTGTTCTCTGGTCTCCTGTGTTACTGGAGTTCTCTTATTGTGCTTCTCTGCACTTTCCTTTCTTAGCTCTAGCTCATCTTCTGCTCACCTTCTTCACTGTGGATATGTTTACACTGTTAGTCTGTCTCATTGGAGATTACGTAAAGTTGGCTTCTCTGCCCTTGTGTATGTTGCCTTTTGTTTCTCAAGATGGCCATGCTGTGTTGAGTCTCCACTCCATCTCTCTTGCTCAATTGTTGTTTTTTCTCTGTTTCTTTTTCCAGTCAGTGTTTAATCTAATTCTTTTTTATTTCATTTGATGCTTACAGTTTTAGGCTTATCATCTGTATCTTTTTACTTGGTTCCCAGGTCTTTGTTGTAGAGGGACTGGGCAGTGTGTGTCACCAGGACACCATTTTGTCTCCTCTCCAAATCATATAATCTTGAAAATGCCTTACAGATAGAGTGATTTACCTAAATTATAATCTGATCTACTAAGAAAGATACACTCCTGTCTCATTTGTTGGGAGTGGGAAGTGGGAAGATTTTAAATGTGAAACTCTTAGAACTATTTAAAAGGACACAAAATCAAAAAAGCCTCTGATAATCTAGTGAACTGAATTCTCATAAAATTTCTCAAAAAAAAATTATGTTCTCTAAAGCTATCATTATGATGATATCTCAGTGTAAATTTTCTTCATTCGAAATCAACAATCTTTTCATGGAATTTTACTTTTTTGACAATGTGATCCTCATATTTTTTAAACTTATTTTCTTCAGAAAATTACAGTGATGATTTTGAAGATGAGGAAGATACTAATACACCTTTGATTACTAAAGGTGAAGAGACACACTCCAAAGAAAATCCCAAGTCAGAAAAAATAAATGTAACCAAACAGGTATACATCAATTAAATATTTTATAGTTTCATCAACTTGGCTAACTTTCAAAATATGCAGAGCTTGAAATATGGAGTACTTCATAGGCTTGCACAATATCATAAAGTTATTCATCTCTTAAAACTCAAACATTTTCTTAACTCAGAATGTCAATTCATATAAAAGCTTCATGAAAACTTAGTCAATGTTGATAATTTTATAAAGGGTGTTTTGACAAATAATTTTTTAATGCTAAGCTTCAGGAATTGAAAATTAATATCTCAAATCTAATTTTTAAACAAGTATATTGAGTTATGCTTTTCTTTTGTAGGACTTGTCTTTATGGAGAACAATAAGTATGTTCTCCTCAGTATTTATACTTGTGGTAACATTATTGTCTGCAGTACACTTGGTGAAGATAATTAATTGAATATACTCTGTTCACATGCACTGGTGCTGTAATCCAATTCTCTTAAGTTTTCAGTTATGTTGTTGTTGTTGTTATGTGCCATCGAGTTGGCCCCTGCTTAGAGCGACCCCTCCTTGGGTTTCCAAGGTGGTATCTCTACGGAAGTAGATTGCCCAACCTTCCTTCCAAGGAGTGGCTGGTTGAACCGCCAGCCTTCTGGTTAGCAGTCAAATGCCTTAGGCACTATGCTACCAGAGCTCCTTTTCGGTTGTTACCAAGACTTATTAAGAACTACTGCTACATATTGAATACCACATAGAACTTATCCTTAAAGCAGTGTAATAATAGCTAGTAAACAATTATGAATTTGTTATATTGGTCTTGATCTGGACATAGTCTCTTTTGGGACTGCATGTTGGGACTCGGTGTTCTGAACTGATATGAAGCCATAAGCTCTCTCAATAGGAGAAAAACTTTCCAGGTACAAATAAATTCCCTTATTTTAAAATTCACCAAGTGTTTTGCCCTTATGGTACTTAGTCAGGGGGGATAAAAAAAGATGGTCTTGAAAATAACACCTGAAGATTAATGTGATCTGATGAGTATTCTTAGAAATTTAATGGGATTTATGGTTGGAATATGGCTGTTACAATGTTTTATTAAACATAAATAAGTCAGTAGAAAATACAATAGTGTAGTATATTGGAAAAGTATATCCTTCATAGATAAGTGTCAAAGTGAATGTGGAAGCCAAGTGAACTTCTGAGTAAGAATCAAAATAGGAAGGAATTAAAACCATGTTACTGTAGGAAGATCCTACAAACTTCCTGTCCTGGTAGAGAATATTTGTTGTTACTGTTGTGTGCTGTCACTCGTATAGACCCTATACGACAGAGTAGAACTGCCCCATCGGCTTCTCTAGGCTGTAATCTTTATGAGAGCAGATCACCAGGTCTTTTCTCTCATGGAGCTCCTGGTATATTTGAACCACTGACCTTTTGTTGAGCAGTGGAGTGCTTAACCATTGTACCACCAGGGCTCCTTGTAGAGGATACTAAAACTCACTGCCATCGAGTCTGATCTGACTCAGCAACCCCACATTGGGTTTTCAAGGCAGTATCACTACAGAAGTAGATTGCCTAACCTTCCTTCCAAGGAGTGGCTGGTGGATTTGAACCACTAGCCTTCTGATTAGCAGTCAAATGCCTTAAGCACTCTGCCACCAAAGCTCCCTGTAGAGGATATTGTTGTTGTTGTTATGTGCCTTCGAGTCAGCCCCGACTCATAGCGACCCCTCCTTAGGTTTCCGAGGCAGTATCACTACGGAAGTAGGATTGCCCAACCTTCCTTCCGAGGAGTGGCTGGTGGGTTTGAACCGCCAGCCTTCTGGTTAGCAGTCAAGTGCCTTAGCCACTATGCTACCAGAGCTAATTAGAAAATGTATTCTGAGACAACCTATAATATTGATAAAGAATACCAACTGTCCTACTATTTGCCGGCGGTATAATTTGACCAAGAATACAATATTTGATAGGTTCTTGTTCTTTTTTGAAAATTTTGTTTCTCAAAATGTCAATGAAACAGTGGGTACAAGTTATATTTGATCATTAATTTTGAGCAGTAAGGGAACAGTGATTGGTGATACTGTAATTAGCGTAACTATGTTTTTTTGTGGTTAAAAAAATATGAGAAATTCTGACTGACATAGGTGAATAAATGGTACATAGATACTTTAACCAAGGCTTATTATGGTCTAAATTAATTATTGGTAATAGCCAAGATTCTGAAGACTCTTTTAGAAGGTCTCTCAGAGCTATAGTGTCTAGGCTTGGAGAATTAATTTGGTGAATGAGAGTGGTGAAAGAAACCCAGAAAACCTATTTCCTGATCTTTTCATAATTATTTTTCAGGTCTTATGTCTATTTGCATTGTAGAGTTACTTAACTTTGGTTTAAAATCATATCATCATTTTCCTTTTTTAATTTAGGAAGAAGAGAAAACTGGCATGCTGGCTAATGGTAAATATTATGCCTATTCATAAATTTAGATGACAAAACAAATTGTTTATAATTGCATCTAAATAATTCTGAGTAAATCACTATCTGTTTTTAAACATCCCTAAGGAATTAAAATGTACAGGTTTTCTCAGTATGTTCTCTATACCTGTCTTGAGTCTATCCTGTTTTATTTGTGAATGTTTATTTTTTGTTATTTTTCTTAAGCCCCTTGTCTTCTATGTATAAATATACATTAGATCTGTATAGAAACACAAATGTGTATGCTTATGTTAACCTGTTCTCTTGTATGTAGAAAGCAGAAAATCATGCTTGATATGTGATCATATACTATTATATATAAACATGTATCTTGTTATATGTATATATGGGTGCATATGATTATAATAATTTTATTAGAATAAAAGAACCCATAAATTTCTGCACATTCCTTTCCTTTATTTTTCTTTTATATTCTTCCAGTTGTGTTACTTGATTCATTAGACTCCATTATAGAGGGCAACCTTGATGAACAGGATAAAACAGCAAGTAAACCAAAGGCCTTACCAGAAATGACAGATCATGAAATGACAGGAACAGGTAAAATGCTTTGAAAACTGGCTATTCTCTAAATGCGTAAAATTTTATGACTAATTGACTTTGTGTTTTAGAGATTTTAAGAATTTTAAATCTTACATTTTTCTACTATGGTTTTAATGATGTAAGTAATCTGATCCTGCTAATGGTGACACTTCTAGGGGGCCAAATAAAGTGTGTTGTAAAATAAACATTTATTAATAAATGAGTGTATACTGTTGCTGGAAAGTGTAGCACTATAGGGCAGTACCAACTTTCTTGCCTCTCCAAAGTACTCTGTGAAATTTACCATGTGTCAGAGAAATGAGACGTCCGCCTTCTGTGCTTTCCCACAGTTCCCTTTCTGTAGGAAAAAGCTGGGTCACATCCCCAGGTTCTGAATACCTAGTACCCACTAGACTTCCCTAAAGTTATAAAGGTTGTTAAGACAAAGTCTTCCGAATCTTTTTTAAAACAGTGAAACCTTTATCACTAATAAAAATATTATATGGAAATCTATTGATAGTTTAAAGTGATATTTTATCAATGTAAATACATCTTTACATTTATAATATTTACTTATAAAATTAGGATAATAATGCTTTTTAGAAATTGTTCAAATCAGCAGTTATAGATATTTGTTACATCACCACCAGACATATATGTATTTGTATATTTTGTTTTTATCGTCTAGTATTAAAAAATTCTTGATTTGCCACATGAATAGTTTCACAGAGGAACTTTATAATCAGTATGCTTACACTTTCAGGATATTAGGCAACTAAATTAATACAGATGCTTAGAAAAAAAGAGCAATAGGAAAGGTTAGCTTCAAAGTTAAATCACTGACCAACTAAAATATCTGCTTGCATTTTTTTTAAATTGAAGTACAATATACCTGCAGAAAAGTTCATATATAGTAATAGTGTAACTCAATGAATTTTCAAATACAGAACACACCCATGTAACTAGCAACCAGCTCAAGAAACAAAACATGATTCATATCATAGGAACCTACTTGTATTTCTTCTCTTAGTCACTGCCCTTCCAGGAGTCACCACTATTTTGACTTGCTTCATCTATTTCCATTTTAATTGTAAAGAAAAAAGCCCAAAATTAAAACTATAAGATTGAGTTTTCTCACCAGGACATGTTACTCGTTTGCTTTTGATTATCCAGTAGAGTATAGAGTATTCTGCTATGATGAAAGCATGTGCTGAGCACGTGTTTGTCAGCCTTACTGTTTAGGTAATCATATTACATATACATATAATAGTCCACTCATTTACACAATTTTCAATAAACAGACTTGAATTCTTTTACAAGACCAATGTAGAACTACAACTTTCTGAATCATAGGAAAAATTATGTTGTTGTTGTTGTTGTTAAGTGCCGTTGAGTCGGCTTTGACTCATAGTGACCTTGTGTGCAACAGAATGAAACACTACCCAGTCCTGTGCCATCCTCACAATCCTTGTTATCCTTGAGCCCATCACAGGAGGCACTGTGTCAATCTATCTCATTGAGGGTCTTCCCCTTTTCAGTGACCCTCTACTCTACCAAGTATGATAGCCTTCTCCAAGGGCTGGTACCATCTAACAGGTTGACCAAAGTAAGTGAGATGAATCTGACCATTCTTGCTTCTAAGAAGCATTCTGGCTGCACTTCTTCCAGGACAGATTTTTTCATTCTTTTGTCAGTCCATGCTATTTTCAATATTCTTTGCCAGCACCACAATTCAAAGACATCAGCTCTTCTTTGGACTTCCTTATTCATTGTCCAGCTTTCATATGCATATGAGTGATTAAAAATACCATGGATTCGGTTAGGTACACCTTAGTCTTCAAAGGAAACATTATAGGAAGTTCATAAATGTGCAAAATGACTGGAGAAACTATTCTAAGATACACATGAAAACCAGTAAAACAGAAGGGAAAGTTATCATCCTGATGATCTTCAAAATACTAAATTATGTAAGTGGTAGATCTGAGTGTGCAGATTAGTTTCTGTTACAGTTTTTAAATCTTAAAGTATAATTTAAAATGAAATTTTGGTCCAACATCTCTGGAACCCATGATTATCTCTGAGAAATTATGATTTTGCAAAACTGTGTAGAAACCATTGCTGTAGGTTATAAGGAAAACTAAGAAACAAGAAACATATTGCTGAAAATAAAAATTCTGTTAAGATGATCCAAATAGTTATTATCTAAAGCTATAGTTTTTTGATCTTACTTCTTTAATGTTCTTGATTCTGAAATACTTTGATTAATTGATTACTGGAAGGTAGTGGAGTGTGACCTTATTGTCATATAAACTTGGATTCATAACCCCAACCTTGCCAATTATGCCTAAGTCTGCTTCCTTTTCTTTAAAGGCTTTGTAATGGTCAGTTGAAATAATGTATAGTGCCTAGTTCATAATTAAGATTCAACAATCAGTAGTTACTCCCGTGGTTGTTATTATCATTATTATTTATATCAACCCTCTCTTACTATTACAAAGTATAAAAAGAGCCTGAAGGCATGCAATATACTCACTTATAGGCTGTGGGATATTGAACTTACAGTATTTCAAAAGTGCTTTTGAAAGCTCTCAGATGAACATCTGAACCGATTTAAGAACTGAAAAGTACTGGTAGCCCCAGACTTATAATATAGTCATTTCAAGGAACCATACTTAGAACCATCTTTTCTAGCAAGGACTAGTGTAAGATGCATATCTGGCTTATAAAATATGCATACAGTTGGAGAAGCAGGAAGCGCCAATGTTGAAGCTCCTGAAAAAGTCAATGATAAGCGAGACAAAATAATACAAAATGAAGAATATCTACCAGAACATATTTTTACCGTGGATGAAACAGGCTTGTTTTGGAAAAAGATATCAGAACAGACCTATATTCACAAAGAGGCAAAGTCTATGCGTGGTTTCAAGGCATTTAAAGAGAGAATCACAGTGCTGCTCAGGGAAATGCTGCTGGATTTAAATTAAAACTTTTTCTTGTTTACTGTTCTGACAACCTGTGAGCATTCAAAAACATTGACAAAAATGAGCTGCTGGTCTAACAGGAGTAACTCCAAGGCCTGGATGATGATTATGTTATTCAAAGACAATTTGAAATTGTTTTGTCGAAGTATGTATCTACTGCCTTAAAGAGCATTCCTTTAAAAATTTTGCTGCTGTTTGATAATACCCCAGAACATCCTCCTCACATAGATGATTTAAATCAAGATATGAAAGTGGTGTTTCTACCTCCCTGTACAACTGCTGTGATCCAGCCTGTGGAAGAAGGTACAGCCATCACCTTCAAGGATACGCCTAGGGCCTGCATTTGCACAGGCAGTCATTGCAACAGATGGAGGTATGGCAAATTACACAATTTCTAGAAGGAAGGAAAATGCGTGGAAAAGATATGGAAAAAGTTGTTGAGTTACATGAACATGCTTCAAGCATTTGATCAAATACTTGAATAATATGGAAATTTGATAAATATATATAATTTATATATCAATATATATCAGATTTTATATATAATATATAATTGATATGTGTGTGTGTGTGTGTGTGTATAATTATGTATACCTATAGTTTGATAAAATGCTTGTATAATATGATGGAAGAGATACTGGAAAAATCATCCATATGGCAAGAATGCTGAACTTAGAACTTGATAATCACTGATGTAGAAGAGCTTACAGATCACAAAGAGGGATTTACAGATCAAGATTTAATGGATTTTGGAAAAAAAAAAAGTGAATGGGTTTTGAAGAGGAAGGAAATGCTGCAGAAGAAAATAATAATAAGGAAGAGGATGCTGTTTGAAAACGTTGACCCAAACGCTGATAAAAGCAAACCAAACTCACTGACATCAAGTAGATTCTGACTCATAGCGACCCCTGTGGGTTTCCAAGGTGATAAATCTTTACACAAGTAGATTGCCTAGTCTTCCTTGCGCAAAGTGTTTGGTGGGTTTGAACTGCCAACCTTCTGGTTAGCAGTCAGATGCCTTAAGCTTATGCCACCAGAGCGCCTCAAAACACTGATAGCTTTGCTAAAGTTGATAGGCAGATTCAAGAAGCAATGAGATGTTACTGCAAAATATTTGGGGTGGGGGGAGGGGAGACCATACAGACAGTTCTCACTAATTTTCTGACTAGAAACACTGTCCCCATTCCTAGGGGTAATCCAGATGATCCAGAACCTTCCACAAGTGGAGTTATTACCACACCTGACATCTGACTCTCCTTTATTGTTGAAAATGTTGCCAGTATCAGCCAACTGTTTTTCACTGTTGGAGTAAATTTATATGATTTGTATATTTTTTTATGTATATGTATGTATTAAAGTATATTAAGTTTTTATGTAATGTTTCCAACCCCCAAAGACAAAAACAAAAATGGATTTATAAAGATAATGATATCAAAAGGCAATAATGAAAACTAAAAAAAAGAGGTATTCAACTTACATCAGAATCAACTTTCTGTGGATTCATTGGAACAGAACCCCATCATAAATTGACTTTGTTTTGTTTTTACTAGGTTTCTTTCTGTGTTGAGCAGGCTGAGTTTAGGAGACACATTATCTATGTTAATATTATTATGTATGAAATTGTTTGTGCTTTATTGTATTAAATTGTGGTTCTTTAATTCAGTAGTTGGAGGCTGCTTGGGAAGAAATGGAGGCTTTCCTAACTTTCTAGGCCAGAGTTTCACCTGTCTCACGGGCGTGCCTTTCACTTAGTTTCACCTGTTTCAAAATATCACTTTGTGCTGTGGCTGCATGACTGGAGTAGTCACAGAATGACAGTGTTGCTCCATGAATCATGGCCCTTTGCTGTGCAAAGTAGGATTTGATCCTTTTCAGTTTTCTGAAGTTGAAAAATGTAAAGGGCCTTTAAGGAGTAGTAATATATAAAATAACTACTTAGGACCCCTCATTTCAATCTGAAAGGCAGAGAGGTAAGTCTTTGTTTTGCTCTTGCGAAAGGCATGAAACAAGTTAACTTAATGACTCCCGAAGTGTTTTTTGTCATTTGGTTGATGACTCAAATTAGAGGAAAAGTACTCCAGCTGTTTACTGAGCAGCCCCTAATAACCTCTTCATCTTTCTTTTCTAATTTTTAACTGTTAGTACATTTATTTTTCTGCATGTTTGCTCTGCTGGTCCTTAAACCCTGAAGCCTCTTCCTTCTGACACTTTTCACCTGTTAAATTAGGTATGAGACTTCAGTCCTGCTATACTATTTGCTTTTGGGTTTTTTTGTTTTGTTTTGTTTTTTAATATACTCAGCGGAAACTTAATCATCCTGATATTTCAGTAGAGGAGAAAAACAACCTTGTGCCTTTCTGTTTTTCATGAAAACTAATTTTCACCTCCAGTCATGCTACTCTAGTTCTGGCTGATGGTTTAAAGGGAACATTAGGTTTTTCTCAACAGGAAAGACCTTTTTCTTCACACTCTTATGGAAGACTCCACCACTTAATTGCTGGCAGTTTTGCTCTAACAGTATCTCCTGCTTTTTTGTTTTTGAATTACGCAAATCTCTTATCTATTGGGAAATGCTCCAAATATCAGTAGTTACCTGAAGCGTTAGCTAAAAAGACATCACATTGCAAGGCATTTTTACATAATCATGTGTGTCTCTAAGCCAGCTCTTATGTTTACAGATGAAAACAGCCCCTCAGAGTTGTCTTTGGCTATACAACATACAGTTTCTAAAGCTTGAGGAAGATGTGCCTATACTGTACATACCATTTTATTTTTAAGCATTAATTAATTAATCATGAGTACCAAGAGAAGACTAGTTATCTTATGTCTCTTATTTTTTCCATTCCTCTTGTATAATTCTTCCCCAATTTTGAAAATTTCATTATTAATGAAAGTTACAAATTAAGAAAATACTCTTAGATATTTTAGATAATTATTGTCATTGTCATTAGATTCTTCAAATTCTTTTTTCCAGAAATTCTGTTGGTGAGGTCAGAGGGCTAATAATAGAAAAAGAAAAGTGAATAATGATGTCAAAGTTTCTGTTGGGTGGCTGGGTGAACAGTGATGCCATTAGCAGAGATAGGAAATACTGGTATTAGGATATGTTTTATTGTAGAATATAATGGATTCAGTTGGGGATATATTAGATGTGATTTACTTAAAGGATAATCTGAATGTGTTAGAGAGTTTGATAGAAAAGAGGTAAGGACAAAAGATACAGATTTGGGAGTCACCAGCATATAGGAAGATGGGGCAATCTACTTCCGTAGTGATACTGCCTCGGAAACCCAAGGAGGGGTCGCTATGAGTTGGGTCCGACTCGACGGCACATAACAACAACAACAAGGTTATTGATGAAATCAGCCAGGCCAGAAAACATGAAGTGAGAGGTGACCAAAGGATAACTAAAGATGGAGTGCTGAAATGAACCATTTACCATAAAAGAGATAGGAAGAACAAGGATAAAGAAGAGATGCCGAAGAAACCATTCCTAGGAAAGGGTGGTCCACAGTGTCAGGTGTCTCAGAGGGTTGAAGTAAGATGAGAACTAAAGAAACTGTTGGATTTAACCATTAGAAAATTGCTTTTAGAAGGTGGGGACCAGGTTTGCTGGTCCAATAGAGCCTGGTGAAACCACTGAGACTATGGCCCCTAGCTGCCCTTCAGGTCTGGGATTGAACCCACACCTGTGGTTTCCAGCCAAACAAAGAACAGGCAAGTGAGTTAAACATTTACCTCAAGTAGACACACCCTGGAGAGAACAATCATGGGAGAAGGAAGGGCTGCTTATGCACAGGGAGACAGCTCAGGGCACAGAAGAGTATGGAGGGATGGACACTGGGAAGAGGTAACTATGGGGAGGAAGTGGGAGGGGAGCTGTTGCATTGTAAATTTTGGTCAATGACATGAGACAAAGTATATGTGAACTGCTGTATGAAAAGTGAATTTACTCTGTAAATCTTCACCCAAATAAAAAAAAAAATAAAAAATAAAAAAAAAAAGAAAATTGCTTTTATTAAAGCAGCATTAGCATGTTGGAACATGTATTAGATTGCAAAGTCAGAGGAGTGAATTTCAGTTGAAGAAAGGCATACTATAATATGCTTGGTAGCATGGGAAGCAGAGAGAAAGAGAGAATAAATGTTCAGGGAGCAGCAAAATCCTTGAAAGGAATGTATCAGTTTAGGAAAATTTAAAAATAGTTTTATCAAAAGCAGAGAAGTTGGTTAATGATAGTCTCAAAATCACACTGCTGTCAAGTTGGATCCAACTCATAGCAACCCCTCCTTGGATTTCCGAGGCGATATCTCTACAGAAGTAGATTTCCCTATCTTCCTTCCGAGGAGTGGCTGGTGGGTTTGAACCACCAACCTTCAGGCTAGCAGTCAGATGCCTTAGGAAAAAAAAACACTGCCATCGAGTAGCTTCACACTCATGGTGAACCCATTGCATTTCCAAGGTGGTATATCTTATGAAAGTAGCTTGCACTGTCTTCCTTCTGTGGAGTGGCTGGTGGGTGTGAAATGCCATCCTTCTGGTTAGCAGTCAAATGCCTTAGGCACTGTGCCACCAAAGCTTCTTAGGTATTACTTGAGCTTGTGCATAACTCTACCTTTATAATGTCACTATAACCCTACAATGTGCCCTGGTGGCATAATGGTTAAGTGCTTAGCTGCTAACTAAAATGTCAAAGTTCTAATCTACCAGCAGCTCCACGGAAGAAAAGACCTGGCAATCTGCTTCCATAAAGATTACAGCCTAAGAAACCCTATGGGGCAAGTCTGCTGTGTCTTTTATTGTCACTGTGGTATAGTGAATTACACGGTATGGCTTTTCTAGCCATAGGCTTTGTAACTCACCAGGGTTACTGGGTAGTTTCATGCAAATATGTCTCAACTTGGCTGGGCTGCTGGTGGTAGTTATTCCCTATAATGAGACTAGCAGTTAACGCTGTAGTGGAATTTGCCATGAGCAACTGAGTAGCTGCTTTTAAACTCCTGATTGTTAAAGTCATCTGCCTGGAGTATTTCTGTTGGAGCAGCACAAAGTAATCTTCTGGAGTTCACTCTCCCTCAGGTGTGTAGAAATCTGATGTTGGGATTGGTTAGTTTTGCCACTCTACCAGGCTTAAAATGAGCCCTTCTAGAGGCAGAGGGGGAATCTCACTGCCGGCTGAGAGAGATGCCCAGCTGAGAGAGACTCCCGGCTGAGAGACGGCAGCTGTGGAACCAAGGGGCACAAGACAGAGCAGCAGGTTTACCTGGCCCACAGAGGCAGAGGCCAAGCCAAGAGGCATGTCTAATGACACAACAGAGGGGGGATTCTCCTGATTGAAGAACTGTAAACTGAGCACATTCCTGAACTTGAATTGTAGCCTGTTACTTCCCTAATAAACCCCATAATCTGAAAGTTCTGTGTAGCCACTGCAGCAAATTATCAAATCCTGCAGAGAAGTGGTGAATGCTGTGGGAGGGATAGTTTGTGTCAAGGATGATGGTAAGAGGACTGGAAGGTGGTGGCATGTCTGGCCCTATAGGAACAGGCCTTGGGCTGCTGATGGTGATTTTGTTTTCCTCTTGTGAAGTTAGAGGAGGTCAAAAGATGCCACCTCCCTGCCCCCTTAGCAGTCACTATAAGTTAGAATGCACACACAACATTTTCCTATAGCCTTTTTTACCATTCCTAACAGATCAAGGAGTGATGTTAGCGTTTTATATTTCTCATGTACTTGTAATGTAATTATAGATGGAGATTATACTGATTTTCACAGGTATTTCTTATGGACAAAGTAATAGTGACATGGAAGCCCTACATCAGGCTTACCGTCACATAGCCCATTCTTTGGGAGATACGGATGAACAAAGATTTGAGAGTAATGCAGTAGAAAATACCAAGAGCTCAGTGAAAGATCATCCTCCCAGCAATGATGATGAGTCCTCTAAAAACATCTCTACAACTGAATCAGGTAAAAAGCTTATTATTAAATTTATATATTGTTTGTCCACTATCTGAGATCCTCTGAACAGTTTTCAGTGTAGTGTAATTTAAATACAGTTTATTGTGGTGATTGTTTCTCAATTTCTGAACTTATTTAAAGGGTTAGTTCAAAATGAAATGTAGAAATCATTGATTTAACTACGAAGTTAGAGTCAGACATGGAATCAGATTTTAGCACCTCTTTCGGTAGGCTTTGAACAGATTAAGAAATTACTTAAGTGTTTTCACATTTTTTACTCTGTTTCATGTGTCTATATACCATATTTTTATACAGATAAGACATACAGCATATTTTTTGCCAACTATGCCACCTCCCCCATGCTGTTTGCATAAGCATGCTATGCTATGCATTGTAAGTGTGGCTGTGTTATTTGCGAAAAAATAAGGTATTACGGTTGTTTTCTAAATAGAGAGCAATATTTTGGGATCAACTAAATACATATTTATCAAAAGGATATATATGTATATACATACATATCTACATATGTATGTCTGCATATATATTATGTGTATAAACATATATTTGATATACATTTGTCAAATAAAATATGAAAAGAAGTTTACCTGGTACAACTAAGTTTATTGCATATGTAGTTTTGTTAGCTATGCTAACTAGAGATACCTAAAGCTAATTATTTTAAGTACCTTACATATTTTTGGTTGCTACTTTAACTTTTTTCCCCTCTTAGAACTGCCCACAGTAGAAGAGCTGATGAAACCTATCAGAATAGATTCCTTTGGGGTCAGTGGTTTTGATTTACAACCTGTCAGGTATGAGTTTAGAATGTATTCTGCAGTTTGTTCAGTTGGTTAAGTTTTTATTTGTTCTTGTTTTGTAATTGGAAACTTAGAATAATTTGTTCTACTTAAACATTTCCAATGAATGATTAACGGTAATGCTGAATGGGTAACACTAGAACTCTTGGTGATGCCAGTGGTTAACATGCTCAGCTATAACCAAAAGGTTGGAAGTTCCAGTCCGTGCCTCAGAAGAAAGTCTTGGTGACAAACTCCTGAAAAGTCAGCCATTGGACACCTTGTGGGGAAGTTCTACTCTGATACACATGGGGTTGTCATGAGTCAAAGTCAACTGGTTGTCAGCTGGTATTCGCTTGTATGAATCTACCTGTGAGGAATTGCTTTCTTCTTTTTATATTAGTCCTTCCTCAATTTATCAAAATTCTTCTTTTGCTAAAAGGAAAATAAATATGTGCTATAAAAGACTTAACTGCCATTGTTGTTGTTGTTGTTGTTATGTGCCGTCGAGTCGGCCCCGACTCATAGCGACCCCTCCTTGGGTTTCCGAGGCAGTTATCACTACGGAAGTAGGATTGCCCAACCTTCCTTCCGAGGAGTGGCTGGTGGGTTTGAACCGCCAGCCATCTGGTTAGCAGGCAAGTGTCTTAGCCACTATGCTACCAGAGCTCCCAAAGTAGTCTTAAAGTTTTTCACCACAAAATACAATCTCTCTAGCTCTAAATAGCTCAGAGACAGTTGATTCAGATTATGCAAGAGAGCATGATTTTTATTCTGTATATGAGTTGTAGATTTATTTCTTCATAGATCAGTTTATTTTGCACTTTGTCACAAACCAGCTGTCATCTCACAGGATGACTTTTTTGGTCACAAAAAAACAGGCTGTGTGAAAATTCTCCAGCTCCAGTACAGTTTGTTGGAAGCAAGTGAGATATTGTTGTCATTCTCCAACATGAAATAGCATATCAGAATAACTTGTCATAAGGACACTTTGCATTTGTATAGCACTTACATGTGTTTTATGTGATCCTTATAACAAGTAGAACACGCGTCTTATCCCCATCCCCAGGTGATGAAACTGAGGCAAATCCACTTCAGTTGTGGTGCTCTTGTGAGAATTAGATGATGATGATAATAACAGCTAACATTTACCACATGCTTACCATGAGCCCAAATCTGCAGAGTTCATCACATACATTATCTCATTTAATCCTGTAGTAGCTCCATAAGGTATATTTTGGTATTATCCCTATTTCATAGATAAGAAAACTGAGGCTTAAGGAGTTTGAATAAATTGCCTAAGGTCTTACAGCTATAACTGAGGAACACAAGCAATCCATGTGCTTAACCACTTAGATTTTCAAATCTTTGATCTATATGAAATATCTCTGTAAAATAGCCTATCACTCATTCATGCATTCACTTATTCTTTTATGTTTCCAACAGACATATTTTGAGCTCCTTCTTATACAACATCTTCATCATGTAAATCCACCTGGAGTAATTTCTTGGCCTTGTTTCTACATAGGTGCTAGTTGTGAGGAAGTGATGAGGTGAAGCTTATGCCAAAATCCATCCTCTTGAATGCAAAATCTGTATTTCTTCTCTGGCTTGTAGTGCTATTTAGTACTTTCAAACGATGGGTTGAGCTTCCTCATCATGGCTGTTTGAGTTATGTTCACATTTCTAAAGAGATTTTCTTAAACATCTTTGTTGGCATAAGTGGAATCATTTTAGTAATGTGAATTCTACTACAGGTTTTTACATTTGTATTTTAAAGCTGAAACAAGTATATTTACGTTAAGTGCATAAAAATAACAAGAACTTTAGTATACATATCTAAAAAATCTTTAGTAAGTTGTAGGATAAGTAATCTCAGCCCTCTGTTACAGATAATCCTTGAAAGCGTAATAGTTTAACACCATCAAAAATGTATTTCTTGTTCACATCACTGTCCCATGTGGATCAGCAGGAGTGGGGCTCTGCTCCACAGTCATCTGGGGACACAGGCATCTTCTGTCATGGTTTCAGGGTTGTCATGCATCATCCAACCAGTTGATAAGGAAAAGAATATTTCCTTTGGGATATTTTCCATATTTTTAACATCTAGTTGTCTGACATATTACATTGCATTTAAAATATCTGTAACCCCAGGAATTGTTTTAAAAATTTGTTTGTATATATTGTGATGAAATTTATGCTTTTTAATTTTTATACTCTATGCCTCATTGGCATGAATTATGATTACTTCTTTAATTTCTTTTAGAAATATGTAAAACATTTTCCCTGTCTCAAATGCATGTTCTAACTTTTTTTATCCATAAGAAACTATGGAAAAAAGATATATTACAAAAGGTTGATTTAAAAAAAAATTGATTTTTTTCTCATACAAAAGCTTTCTCAGCTTATTTTGTTTGGCTTTGCTTTAAAGTAGATTTGCGAATCATATTATACTACCTTCAAATTATTATTTGAAATTAAAAACAATTGAGTATATATACTTTGTTAAACGGTATTGTGAATAATGTTATCTAATAGTAATAATTTGAGTAGTTGAGAAATATGTTAAAAAGACTGATATTTGAGGGGTCACATTTACATAGGGATCATTCTGTGTCCTGTTTTGTTTTTTAGTTCTGAGAAACTGGCTAATAATAAAGAAACTGAATTTGTTAGCCCTTTACTTAAGACAAACACAAATCTTATGTTTCGAGAGCCATACCATGTGAATGACTTTTTTGACAAAAATGATGAGAATGTGGTTTTACAAAAGACAGCAAATGAAAGTATAGGAAATAGCTGTCCAGAAGTAACTCCTATAGAAGAACACATAGATAAAATGTATCTTGATATTTTGAGGAAAAAAAAATCTGTTGATCCTGCATTGTTACCTCAGAATGACAAAATTAATAAAGTAAGTATTTATAGTCTAAACTGATTTGATATATTGAAAAACTAAGGTCTAATTAAGCATATAAGTATTACTGATAACTGTATTCCTCTTGAGCTAGTGAAATTGATTACATCCTGACCCCCACAATAGATACTGGATACTTACATACAATATATACAATATGAAGGACACCTTCATATCCTCAAGTTCAAGAATACCATTATAGGATTAGCTTTCTTTTAGAAGCTTTTCTTTATGTTTCTTTTTTTTTAGTAAGCAGAGACCAGAAATTTTAATTGTAGTATTTACTGTTCAATCTTTCCATTAGCCTGCAAAAAAGTAAGATGGCATTTAACATGAATGCTCTTAGCAACTGTGAAGAAACTTGTTTTGCTCTATTTTTCTTTTTTTCCTCTAGTCTTGATCTATTGTGCTTTACAGTTTCAATGCTCTCAATATTCTACTTGTATTTTACAGTTTTGCATTATGAGTTTACTGTAAGTCATCTCTAGTTTTTTTGTGGAATAAGACAGGGTATTAATAAATTTTTTTAAAATATCTTGAGAAGTCTGGAGAAAAAGGATAATATATTAAGCCATTTAAAAATATGTTCCTCTGTGTTAATTCCAGTAATTATACATCTTGTTTTCTGTTTATTTTGTTTTATTACTTGCCTCTCTTTGCTTTGTTTTAATGCTGGTTTTGAAAATGTGCTTCAAAATAGTAACATTCGGGCAAATTGAACTTAAAGAAACTTATTGTATGGTTTTCCTTCTATACGCTGCATTATTTAATGTCACTATAATTTTGCCAACTGTTACATCTTCATTAACAGCTATAATTGAAGTTTGTTCTAACTCTAAAGCATTTCCCTCTGTTTTGTACAGACATTGAGATCTCAACTCAGTTTTGGAGAGGAAGGAGCTGTAACTGGTAAAGAGGTACTGTATCAGAAGGACAGAAGTGCACCTCCTTTACTTAAAAGAAAACCCCAGAGTGGATTATATGCATCAGTTAGGAGCTCAGGCTATGGCAAACCCAATTCATCATTCAAGACATTTTCTACTCTTGAAAAGAAAACTTCAAAGGATGTTGTGAAGAGCAAAAACTTGAGATCCATTCCCACCTCAAATCAAGCTAGAAAAAAGGGTAATCATATATTCTTTTCAAAAAAATTTTGATACTGCCCAGGTACCATTATAGAAAAACTGCTTAAGAAGTACTTTACCCCACTGAGAGAAATTAAATGTAAGAATTCAGGAAGAAGACATTCCAGTATAAAAGGACTGGTAGGCGACAGCTGTCAACAGCAACAACCTGCCACTCAGCTGTCAGGTCCTAAGAAGGAGCATAATGTAAGCAGATGGTACCCCATTCACTGGCCACATTTATGAACCTCCAATAATTAGGGAGAGTTAATGCCTGCCTTTGCAAATTTATCCATATAAATGTTTTCAGTAATTTATCTTAAAAATTTATATATATCAGATAGACCAGTTAAATATGATAGCCACTCTGTAAGGAAAACCTCTCCATGCCCCATGCCTGGAAAAAAAAATTATAAGTAAATCTTTGGGTGAAGGGTGATTGGCTACTTGTTTCTTCTTTTTGACTTTGCTGTTATTTTCTAAGTACTACATTTGTAATGAAAAAAATACACTTTATATTTTGAAAGTTCTCATATTGTAAAAATTATAATGAAAATATAAAATTTGAAGTTCCTCATTTCCTTCTAAGGCTAAGGCAATCAGCTAATGTTTATTGAATGTTCCACTCAGGACCTGTAGTATTTGAATAGGGGCCTTAAGGTCTCATCTAGGTATTTCCCTTAAACATTCTTTATTATTAACTGAATAATATATTAGCCTTACAATTACATCTACTGTTTAGGGAGTGTACAAAGTATCTCAAAAGCTGAAAATTTGACCAGAATAAACATTAATCACATTTATTTTCTGGCTTAATATATATTACCAGAATATTATAGCAGTATTGTTATTTAATTTTTCAAAATGTAATTCAGATTAGCTGTTACAAAATCTCACTGCAATTTGTATTTTTCCATTGATACTATGTCTTTATATATAGTGCTTATAAAAACTGTGCTTTAAAAGCACGGTGAATCTGAACTAAATAAAATGCATCAGAAAGTTATCAGCTATTTTTTGATCGTTTAGAAATGCTTAGTTATTATTGCTGTGAACATTTGGAAGAATAATTTATTTATTTAAACTAGTCAAGCCTGAGGTTATCCCTGTCCTCATTCTCCTCACATTTATTTAGGCCCATTTGTCATTTGACATGAGTCTTGGTTCAATTAAGCATCTGTGTCAAATTGAATAGAATGTTAATCATGGATGGTGGTTCTGAGTGCGCTGTCAGTTATCACAGTGAAACAGTGTGACAGCTGTGCTTTATGTTATAAATCAACCTATTTTGAGATCTTCATTTTATCTTAGTGTTCTCATTGTACTCCTACTTGTTACTTAATTGCTGAGCACACACTCAAGTTTGTTTGCATTTATGGTGTTTTCATCTATTTACAATATTTAGAGATCTTATCTGGAACAAAAGTCATCAAGCCTGCAGCTTTGGGTACACCAGCTCCTAAAGCTGAAAGTTACGTGACTACTCCTAAGAAGTCTGAAGATCCTTCACAAATTGATTCCTGTGTTCAGTTTCAGAATGTGGGTATTTAATTTCAAATTAATTTTCATAATGTTTTTATGTCCCAAATTTATATGTAAATAAAATTACAAATAATGAAATATAACAAATGCATGAAGTTTCTCTTCCTCAAGAGTGATATTCTAGTTACTCTTATTGAACATTTACAACTTTTTTTTATATAGTGGAACATTCTTAACTATGTCATTTTTATTTGTGTTTTTTTCTAATGACCTGTGTTTGAATGTTATATGAAAATCTGCCATAATGAGACAATGCCTTTCCTTAAAAGGATTCTTCAGGATACCTTGGTGGGAACAAGGAGACAGAATTATTTATGTTTAAAAGAGTTCAGGAAGCAGAGGAAAAATGGAGAGGTGCCCAAGCCCTAATTGAGCAAATTAAAGTCACATTCTCAGATAAAGAAAGAGAGCTGGAAAATAAGATGGAAGAACTAAAGGGACAACACGAAAAAGAGCTCTTCAAACTAAATCAAGACAATTATATTCTTCAAACAAAGGTACTAGACATATTGCTCTATTTTTTCTTTTATTGATTAAAAAAGAATCTGTACTCCCTGCTAAATGCATTGTCATCCTTCTGTTCCTGGGGTTGTGTAACTTGACATATTTACTGTATGAAATAACATGATTCAGAGTGCTGCCTTGCAGAAGAGCCTAAATTGAACCTGCTGGTGGGGAGGGAGATCTCATTTAAAGTGACTCTTTTGATAATTTTGTTCTGTTAGCAGGCTTTTTTAAAACAAATCTCTTGGTTCATTGTGACCTTCAAAGAAAGCAAAATTTCAGAAGGAAATGTTACAGAGGCCCAGACTCAGCAAATGACATCGTGTAGCATCTCTGGGTCAGTAAAGGACCATCAGACAAAACATCACTCTGCTGGGTGGCTGTAGTTGGTGTTACATGAAATTCCAGTGTAGTAAATATTATAAGACAACATTAAGTTTATACACCTTGAGTTTTCTATTGTTCCTCCCTTCTCACTTCTTCATTTCCTTCTCCAAATAAAACAATTTTTTACATTTTCTCAAAGTTAAGTAGCTTTGAAGAAGCAAACAAAAAACAAAGATGGTTACATTTTGGAGAAACAACTGATCCTGTCACTGAAGAAAAGTTGAAGCAGATCCAAAAAGAAATACAAGAGCAAGAGACACTTCTTCAAGGATATCAACAGGTGTGTAATTAACTGCACTACATTGTGAGCTTGTTCATGAGACCGTGGATTATAGAAATGTGGTGGTATTAAAATATTCCTGTGTTTATTTTATAGGAAATGGGCATTCTGACAAATAAGAGGAAGTAATAATTTAATCTATTTATTTCTCATGGGCAGAATTAAGTTGTAAAGAGCATAGACTCTGCAATCAAAGGATCTGGTCTTGAGTCATCCCCTACTTAGAGCCTTGGGCAAATCACTTCAGCTCTCTAAGACAGTTTCCTTATCTGTCAAATATGAATATCCTTAATAGTATCTCCCTCTTAAGATAGTTGTGAATTTACAATAAGACAGGGCAAAACCAGGCAAGTGCCTGCACACAGTAACTAACCAGTGAATATTACCTGTTTTTATTTTAATAACCATGTTCCTTGGAAACAGTGCTAGTTTTCCAAAATGGTTTTTGATAGATAATATTTGGCTAGTTTTAATATTATATTCAGGAATATGAATCTGAAATCATTTGCTAATGCCCTGGAAGTGAAACAAATTAAACTAAATGCCAAAACCTGTGTTTCCTACAGAAAGCAGATATTTGTGATATGTGAAGAAAATCTTGGTGATGCTGCCCCAACTGCCAGCTGGGACAGAGTTAGGGTCTCCAGCTTGAGACTTCATCTTAGATCATCCCTCGCACTCCCTTATTTCTTACTTCCCTCCCCTTCTCCTTCTCTCTCATTACATTTTTCTCTTTTGACAACCACAGCCTAAGCCTTGAACAGGGATTGTTGTATCCATGACTATGACATTTGCTGTAAATGAAATAGTACTGCAGTCCTTACGAGGTAGAGTGCTCTGATAGTTGGAGCCGTGTGTCAACTTGGCTAGATCTCTTTTTCTCTGTATATAAGCTTGACTGGTTTTGTTTCTCTGGAGAAGCCAGGCTAACATAACTGCCCTACTGTTAGTGAAAACTTTCAAACCCTTGGCCTGCCATTCTCATCTTGCCATGTCAAGCGAGTATTTTTAAAAGAACGATTTCACAGACCTGTAAGTGTATCAACCACTCCCTCCCACAAAGATAGTACAAAAATGTATGTATATTTTTCTGGGGTTCTTTAATTCTTCAGATATTTAAGCACAGACTTTGTGCCAGGCACTATACTAGACATGGATGAGATAGTCCATAGTTTTCATTAGCTCCTCAAAGGTCCTTGGTTCCATCAGATTCTTCATTTTAAGGAGATTAGTAAGCCAGAACAACTAGCACATGATCTTTCTCTTTAAATTATAAAGCCTCTTTTAGAATAACCATTAACATTATTTAAACAACCACCACTTAATGTCATGTAATAAAAGGAAAATAAAATATTGTTAGGAATCATTAAAGAGATACCTTCCTTCTCTGATCTCAACTGTTTGAGTCACTGTTTAGCTCAAGCCTCACCGTGAACTGGGTCTGGTCTGTCTCTTCCATACCCTGGCAGAGACATGTGGTCTTAAACTCCCTGCTTATGTTAGATTTCAGAAACAGGCATGAACATTCATCACAGCTTAATCCAGTTACCTCACTGCTGGAAGCCAGGCTTCTAGAATGTCCCTCCAACAGTATTTTTTCTCTCTCAAGCCAAACACAAAAAAGAGGGTACAAATGGTCCCACTAGGCCTTTCCGCCCTCTTCTACACAATCAGGATGTGGTTATTCCTGCAACTAGTTATCTGTTTATACTAGTGAAATCCAGTGCATTATACTGACATTAGGGTCTTGCTTTGGGGATTTTCACAACTTTTTTTTGAAAACAAGCACTTAGAGCATTTTGGAAAAATCATTTTCAGGTGGCAAGTTTTCTCTTGAGATAATATAATGTGTTTGAAAAGATATTCTTTGCTCAAACACTGAAGAAATTTAAATGACCTTTAAAATGTTTAAGGACTTATCTATTGTGATATTATATTATATGAGGACTACTGACTTTTAACTAAAATGTAATTTTACATTTAAGGAAAATGAAAGATTATATAATCAAGTGAAAGAACTCCAAGAGCAAAACAAGAAAAATGAAGAGCAAATGTTTAGGGAAAACCAGAGTTTATTGAGCGAGTTAGCTTCCTTAAAGTAAGTCCTTTTTAAATACTTAAAATCAAATATATTCAGAAAAATTCTAAGCACTTTATTGTTACATTAATAACAGTATATTTACTTTTATTTATAGTTAAAACCATTTCTGCTCTGTAGACTGTCACGTAGATTACAATATAATTTTTTAAAGAAACCATTTATACACTGAGGTATAGCTTTACAGCTTATATGTTTAATATTCAATGAATTTTTTCTTTTGGTATTAAGTGACTAATTCATACTTTCATATTTTTGGCATGTTCATATTTAAGTTTGACATCACTTTCAGAAAACTGAATGTACAGTATTCTTGATTGGGCATTAAGCCTGGGTGCTTAATCATTTTCTAAGAAACCATATGATTAAGATTAGTTAAAAGGAATATCATACAATATTGTCTTAAGTCACGTTCCCTAGAAGCAGAACTTGAGACAAGGATTCTTATGGAAGAGAATTTATTGGAAGACAACCCTCAGAGCAGGGGGAGTAAGAGAAGCAGGATAAGACCAGGGAAAAGCTAGGCAAGAATGTGGTCTCAGCTGCAGACTGGCTTCTTTCTACTCCTACAGAAAGCTCTGGAGCACAAATTACACTGTAGGATTGGTCTCCACTTGAGACAAAGGCAGCATCTATACACTAAGCCAGTCACTGGCTAAGATGTGCCCCATGAAGGGGATAGAGGATATCTCTCTGGGCTAGGAGGCACAAGGGCTCCTGTTTGGCTGAGGGCGTTTCTCCATAGAAACAATAACCTGTGATTTACTCAGCTAACTCTTGCTCTAGCAGAAGAATGGAACACCAGCACCAACTTAGGAATATTGGTTCCTATTTCAAAGGTGTTTGGGATGTAAATATCTCTAATTTTAATATATCAAATGAAGGAAAAAAATAAAGCAGAGCTCACAAACATGGACAAGGTAAGGTGCTATCTTCTTTTAGAAAATGACTAAATATGCATCATTCCGCATAAGCACCTAATCACTGATAAGAATGCTGTCAGGAGAAGCTTCTTTGACTGTGAATGTTACCATATTATTCACAGAAGTCTTCCATTTTTTGTTAGATAATCTAGGAGCTAAGATGCAGGGCTGCCGCTAGCCCAAACTGCTCTTTAATGCAAAGTAGAAAAAGGCACACCACATGGCAGAGACAGCCAGCAAGTACAGCAAAGAATACTTTTGTGCAAATTAGAAAAAAGAAAAAGCCTCTTTCTCTACCTAGGTGCTGCCCCAGGCCAAGTATGATAATCTGCACATTTCTGATACATGAAAGCATTTATTTCTTTATTCTTTCCTGATACATTAATAAAGTACTTTAAAATATCATGTCTTATACTGTCTGGCTGTTAAAACAGAGTATCTATTCCAGGTTCCAAAACTCAATCTCTAAATAAACTTTGAATAATGAAAGAAATGGTCTCTTTAGTACATTAGGATTTGATGATGTTACATGGGCTCCCAAACTCCATATAGGAGTCCTGGTAGCACATTGGTAAAGAGCTTGGGTGCTAATTGAAAGGTTGATGGTTTGAAAGCACCACTTGCTCCATGAAAGAAAGATGTGACAGTATGCTTCCATAGAGATTTACAGCCTTAGAAACCCTATGGGGCACTTCCACTCTGTCTTATAGGGTCTCATGTGTCAGGATTTGACTTGATGACAATGGGTTTTTATGGATTAAACTTGTATAATGTCTCTGGGGAGAAAAGGAGCACCACCAGCCACTCCTTGGAAGGAAGACTGGGCAATCTACTTCCATAGAGATGTTGGTGCTGTTATGTGCTGTCAAATCGGACCCAACTCATAGTGACACCTCCTGGATTTCCGAGGCATTATTACTACAGAAGTAGATTGTCCAACCTTCCTTCCAAGGAGTGGCTGGGGTGTTTGAACCGCCAGCCTTGTGGTTAGCAGTCAAGTGCCTTAAGCACTACCTACCAGAGCTCCTTCCGCCTCAGAAACCCAAGGAGGGGTCACTATGAATCAGGATTGACTCAGCAGCAGTAAGTTTGGTTTGGTTTTTGGTGGCAAAGTGGTTTAGCTCTCAGTTGCTAACTGAAAGATTGGCAGTTTGAACCCACCCAGCAGTAGGAAAAAGACCAAGTGATCTGCTCCCATAAAGATTATAGCCTAGGAAACCCTATGGAGCAGTTTGCTCTGTCACATGGGTTCTCTGTGAGTTGAAATCAACTCGACAGCCCCTGACAACAACGTCCAAGTAGTAGACCATGTTTATTTTGTTTCTTACCGTCCATGTGTAAAACTGGCAAAAAAAGGGGGGGCTGGTCTAGGATGGTGGAACAGGAGGTACACAGTGCCATGGGACATAACTCTAGGACATTATTTTTTTCTCTGAAAAGTGGGAGGAGATATTTTTATATTACATACAAACCAATACATTGTTTTCTTATGCTTTCAATTACTTTAGATTAAACATAAACATTTCTTTTAAAATATACTTCTCCAGTGTTTTAATCTTTAGGTTAAATAAAATTTTTATCTTCAGTAACTCAAAGTTTCACTGTCCATTAGAGTTTTTAATTTTTAAGACATGATGATTTTGTATTAAAAAGAGTGTCTTGTTAAAACATCTTTTATTTTCTAAATAAATCAGAGAGCAAATGCATAAAAGTCGATTCCCGTCTCGAGTAGTTGAAGACTCAGAACCCACCAGAAACCAGAGTTTTACAGAAGTGTTAGCAGAACTCCGGATGGCACAGGTAAGTTGCATAAAATTTTAACTATTAAGTATAGAAAAGAGTGTTATAAAAATCCCCATGTATGTAAAATTCTGGTTTTGTAATTTTTGAATATAATGTTTTTAAATTTCATACCATTTAAAACTTAAGATAAAATATCTAAGATTAGAATTTAGTTTATGTATACATATGACCTTAATTAGTATATTAATTAATAGTTAGAGAACATGTGTGGTAGTTCAGTTTGTGTGTCAACTTGCCTGGGCCTGGTTGAGTGGCTGGGCAGCTGGTGGTAGTTATTCCCCATGATGAGACTGGCAATCAACTCCATGGTAGGATCTACCACAAGCAGCTGAGTAGCTGCCTTTGTGATGTGGTCTGCTTCCTGTATTTAAGAAGTCGTGGGAATGGTCTGTAGCCTATGGCATGCTTAGACCCTGCATGTAGCCATGTTGTTCATTGCTCAGCAGCCTGCTATGCTCTGCCGACCTTGGGACTTACAGTGGACTTAAGTTAATGGCCTGCTGTATCGTTTGGTAACATCAGGACTGTGACTTTTCACTTGTCAACTTTGAGCTTCTCAGCCTCAGCAGCCAGCAGCTGTCTGAGTGAAGAAATGCCTCTGGCTCCAGTGGGCCGGGAGCAGGAGGCAGAGCTAGACCCCAACATTGAGGGTCTTTCACCCAGCCCCTAGAGCCTGGCACTTTGAACTTGGACTTAAAGCTTCCAAATAAACTCCTGTTTGTTAAGGCCATCCCATTTGTGTTATATTCTTTTCAGAGTGGCACTAGGTAACCAGAATACCATGATATAAAGGAAACTATATAATGCTGATTTTAGATGGTACCTCCTTTATAATCTAATGTGTCATCAGGAATTTCTTACTGGAGCTATCTAGGAGGCATAATCTCATTTAGGACATATATACCTTATTTCAAGTAAATTCTTCATTAGGAAGTGTTCAGCTACAATAGGAAAAGGAAATGGAGGTGATTATTCACTTTTAAAATAACCTAACACCTTTAAAATAATATTACACAATGGTAATTATTACATTAATAGCTGCTCCATAATTTTTTAAATTTTTATATAGAATTACAAAGAGTCTGGCCTAGAATTTTCTAAAGCAATATTTATCAATCCTGGGATTTTGGGAATTTGTGGCATGTCTGTATTAAGCATGATTTTTATCATCAGTGTCCCCAGGGACTATGTGCTCATAGCACTCACCTATCATGCTCTGCTACATTTCCAAATATGCCCTGTGGAAGGGCAGTTACTTTTCTCCACTGCCCTCTCATTAAATAAAAAACATAGAACTAAAGTAAAAAGCTCTTCTAATCAATTTGAATAATTATGTAAATTATAAAAATTCTAATTGCATACCACTTTCTAATGTTGTTGTTGTTGTTGTTATATGCTGTCGAGTCAGCCCCAACTCATAGCGACCCCTCCTTGGGTTTCCGAAGCAGTATCACTACAGAAGTAGGATTGCCCAACCTTCCTTCTGAGGAGTGGCTGGTGGGTTTGAACCGCCTGCCTTCTGGTTGGCAGTCAAGTGCCTTAGGCACTACGCTACCAGAGCTCCTATACAAAGTTAGGTTCTATAAATTTAGTATTTTAATAGCTAATGTGTAACAAAATTTTGTAGTATGTAAAATGCAATTCCACATATGAATCTGTTGAGGCACTTTCTCTGAATGTATATGTGTATGTGTTGTATATATGTATAAAATGATTAAGTACATAGGCAGATAGGTAGAGAGAAAGGCAGGTGGAGAAGGAAGAAGAAAGAAAAACAAGGTCCCCATATCATGGGTCTTAAAAATTAGCAAGTTACAACAGAAATTAGTGCTGCCAAAGTTTTTGAAGGCTTATAAGAACATGGGAGGTGCTCTTCCATTAGCTTCTTTTGAAATCTTTAGTTAATGACCTTTTAAAAGTGCTATTTTCACATAATATTTGTGACAAACAGGAAATTTGAGAATTCTCATTAAAAATGCCTAAAAATGCTATATGGAATATAATCAATATCTTGTTATACATAACATATTTTCTCAAGAAAATAAGGGAACTCTCTATGGGCAAAAATACAGAGGGAATGAAAACCTGGTGGTAAAGTACCTGTCCCTCCCCATTCAGTAACCAAGGGCTTGGGCTTGAGCAGCAAAGTGGAGACAGGGCACCAGAACTTTAAAGGGCCACATCCTTCAGTAAAGCAGTAGACTCTAAACAAATCGAACCACCTTCAAAAGGGGCTGAAATGTTGAGAAAGTTTGTCTGCCTTAAGTCGGTCTCTGAGTAAAAAGGGAAAAAGTCTCCTCTGCCTGGTGCCATGCTTTACTGGTTGCTCAAAATAAAATGGTACCTCTGCTGCTTTTATTTGTGTTTTAGGGTTTGAGTTGACACAACCTGTCAGGGGTGATCATGCTCATACTGAATAAACAAAACAAACAGTGGTCCTAAAGTCAGTGATGACCTCTGGCATGTCTAGAAGAAGCAAATGCACAACAGCTTTTAGAGATTTAACCCAGCTCCTAGAGTATTCCCATAGATAAGATTGCACTGACTAAGTGTTTGCAACATAAAATTACAAAACCCCAAGAAGCAATCTGCTATGAGCAGGCATTAGAAGGTGTAAGAGGCAACAGGATTAGAGCCACAATAGAATATTGAACAGAGACTATGAAATAGGCCTAAAATGGTTATAGATATAAAATAAATGAGAGAAAATATGAGAAAAGAGCAAACTATCAAAAATAGACTAGAAAATTGAGGGAAAAAGAAGTAGTGCCCTGGAAATGAAATATTCTGCAAATTAAAAACTCAGTAGAAGAATTAAACTGATGACGATACACAAATAAGGAAAAAAGTCAGTAAACCGGAAGGATAGATCTAAGGAAGTTACCAAGTGTGAGATAGAAAAAAATAGAGAAATGGGAAATATCAAAAATATTAAGCAATATGAGGTGCTCTGGTATGTATTTAAATATTTAAAAAAATAATCACTGAGAACTTTCTAGAAATTATCAAAGAGGTAAGTTCTCAGATTCAGGAAGCATATCAGGTCCTAAGCAGGATGCATAAGTAAAAATCCTAGTTTCATCATGGTGAAACTACCAAAGACAGGGAAAATCTTTAATCATGAAGAAGAAAAATATTAGTTTAAGGTAATAATAAAATTATTTTAAGACTTTTATATGTTTGTATAAATACTGAAAATGGAGTGTGGATATATTTTCATTCACTTTGGTATTTTGATCTTAAGTAGTTTTAGAGCAAAAATTAGCCATGCTAGGATAAATCTGTAATATAATATTCATATCAAATAGACTTATATATCATCTAATTGGTGCCTAATTAATACCAATTAGTATATTCTTAAAACACTACATGGCTCTTTATAAAGTATGGATGGAAACACAATAAAAGCTGAAGTCCTAAACCCTTTCCTTTTAGTATCAGGGTGGGGAGTAGAAAGAGGCTTACTGCAACACAGTCAACCTTTATCAAGCATGTACCATTTAGCAGGCAGTCATCCAGAGACTGGACAAAGAGTAAGTAAAAGACAGATGTGGACTTTGCTAACTAAGAACATATATTCTGATGGGAGAGACAGACAAAAAAAATAAATGAATATTTACAGATAGTAGTAAATAATTTGAAGAAAATTTTAATAACAGAATAATAGTGAGGGGTGTAAGCAGCATTCAATAGTGTGGTCAGGGAAAGTGTCTGAGAAAGTGATACTTGTATTGGGAGCTGAAGAAAAGAAGCCAACCATGCAAAGATCTAGCAAATGCAGAAGTCCCAAGGTGGAAATGGGCTTGTTACTCTCTAGGATCAGAGGGCTTTGAGGCAGAAGTGCCTGAATAAGGATCAGGTCAGAGAGGCAGGCAGAGGCCCTCTCTGAATGTCTGTACAGTAACAAGGAGAGGGAAAGTACTTCCCAGCCCAGAATCTCAAGGCTCAAAGGATTAATATGAGGTATAGTGGCTTTCTGAGACGTGGGAAGTCTGTCGTTGGAAATATGTGAGCATAGAATGGACATCCACTTAAGCTTTCCTTGGATGATTGAACTTAAGATTTTGAAGTTCCTTTCTGTTCTAAAGGAGCCCTGTAGTGCAGTGCCTAAGGCATTTGACTGCTAACCAGGAGGTTAGTGTTACAAACCCATCAGCCACTCCGTGGAAGGAAGACTGGGCAATCTACTTCCATAAAGATTTACCTCCTCAAAAGCCAAGTGGGGGTCACTATGAGTTGGAATCAACTCAATGGCAGTGGGTTTGGTTTGGTTTTTGGTTTGTTCTAAAATTCTATAATGCCATGCAATAGTCATTGCTAGGAAGGATTCCTAAATTGATTGGCCTAACTAAAAGAGGTATTTGCTGAAAGATGTGAACATTCAAAAATACAAACGCAGTGCTCTCCTGAAAAGAGATCTACAGAAGCGCACAAGGGATTAAACAATGAAATAATGGAGTTAAATCTTTGATTCAGCAACAAAGATTATAGAATGCTTTATGAATGAAATTATTTTCTTTTTAAGACTGAGTTTTAAGTCTTTAGTTGTAGACTAAATGTGTAAGAATTTCTTTTATTTTGAAACTAACTATACCAGCTGTACTACTGTGAGTCCAAGAGTTTCTTCAGCAGACAGGAGTTCAGTTCAGGTCAGCATCCATTTACTGAGTACCTACAATGTGCTTAGTACCATAAAGAAAACGAGTAGTTGTAAGTTACAGTCTATGCCCCTATGGATTTTTTGTCAGCCTCATAAAAAGAACAGGCATGGAAACAAATCAATGCCATAAAAAACAGGAACTAAATGCTGTACATTTACAGTGAAATTTTGTGGGAGCACAGAGGTAGGGATTATTAGGGATAACCTCATTTGAACTACGTTTTGAAGGATAAGTATATTTTGTCAAGCAGAGGAATAGGGGCACAGTGCTTCAAGGTTTTGAGAATATAGAATGCAGGATGTATTGAGAATTATTTTACTTAATATATTTTTTATG